AGTTGGGGCCAAACAAGGCCATGCATTTAGAGAGACTATGCATTTAGAGAATATGCATTTAGGGAGGTCTGACTGTATAACGGATATCAGTTAATATATCAGAGAATGACATATTCTATTTATGATTAATAAAATAGGTTCAAATTCAGAGTATCTAAATAAAGATCCAATTCCGCCAATCCTCCAGAATGTAAAAAGGCCATCAATAAACGTATTTAGAATAAGCTGCACGTATATTTGAAATCGAGTTGTAGTTTAGAAATCATTTACTGAGTGTAGAGTAGGCTAAAGTTGATTCGGGCACTTGAGTCACTTTAAGTAATCCGATATGTAACCCAGTTAACAAGTTATAAACAGGTGAGTAAACCGGAGCTTAAATTTAATAAGCCAAAGTGGATCCAATCATAGTTTAAGTTTATGCAAGAATTTATTAAGTAAAGATATCTTGGGTACAACCTCCAACTGAATGATTCTAGATCAGTTATAGTTTAGCATACCGTATTACTGTATTACGAGATGTAGATATGATTATTGTTGAAACTTAAATCTGAGCTGGATCGAAATATCATGGCTATTTTTCATTATTCTGAGTCAATAAGTTATTCGGAATCTATAATTACCGGCATTGACTGACACCGAAAACTTATCGATTTGGCCATCGGCAATTTGTCCCAGAAATAATGAAAGTAGTTACAATATGTATAGATTAGCCGGCTAACAGCTGGCTTGATCGGTTTACAACTGTTTTCATTATTGAGACAACTAAAAATTTTCCAATGACCGAATCGATATCGGCAGGAATAATGACTGCAATTGTCAAAATTTATTGTAGATAACTAGCTACTGTTGCTGCTGTCGACTATCCTGGCTGGTTCTCGGGAGTGTAAGGCAAACATAGTGCATGCATTTATGGGATGATTGACTGTATTTAATTTATCAATGCTGTGAATCAATCATGGTTGCACCATAACTATAATATATACTCGTATTACTGTACTTGATTTGAAAAATATGCTACGTATATATAAAATATAGTATCTTAAAATCTTAAAAGTATGATAAATTGGGGGATCTTTTAATCAGTGCGACCACGTATTTTGATAATTTATGATACTTCTAAATAAAGTAAGTAAACAAAATTCTACGCTACGTCTTTTTCTTAATTGTCCTTTAATGAATTGCTAAAAATTTTGCATTGGCATAATTTTGTAAAACAATTGAACCTATTATACTCATTGACTGTTGATTAATACAAGATTTAATGGCTAAAATTAATAATATTTTGACAAAAAAATGTACAAAACGCGGCTAATTTAGACAATTTAGTATGACGAGATCATGTGATGTATACTGGTGACACGTCAAATCAGTATATATAACTTTAATCTATGAAACGCGTCCGACAAATAAAAAAACAACTAAGAATGTCAACGAAGCAACTGCCAACGAGACGAGCGAAAACAATAAAAAAAATTATAATAGACACTGACAGTTCTGAAGGTTTTTCTGAAGGCAGCGATTATGCTCCCAACCAACCGACAAAAGTAGACAGTGACATTTCTGAAGGCAGCGATTATGCTCCGGTATTAAAAGAAAAAAAACCGTCGAAGAAGCAGCAGAAAAAAAATAAAATTATAATAGACAGTGATAATTCTGAAGGCAGCGATTATGCTCAGAAGGAGCAGTCGAAACAGCAGAAAAAAGTTACAAAACCAAATCAAACAGATAAAGAAGATTCTGAAGGCAGCGATTATGCTCCGAAGAAGAAGAAACAGCAGTCGAAACAGCAGAAAAAGATTACAAAAACAAATCAAACAAATAAAGAAAATTCCGACAGCGATATTTCAGATATTGCGGAAGCTTCTACAAGTAAAACAAACCCTTTACACAGCGGAAAAACTGTAGAAGAAATATATCAAAAGAAGACACAAATTGAGCATATTTTATTACGACCAGACACTTACATTGGGTCTGTTGAATTTGTAACTGAAAAACTTTGGGTTTACAACTCGGAGACGGATTCTATGATATATAAAGATGTAACTATAGTCCCCGGACTTTACAAGATCGTTGATGAAATATTGGTTAACGCTGCTGATAATAAGGTATGAACTTTATTGCTTTATGAAAATATATACTGTATACACAAAATAACATTCATTCATTTATTCATTCATTTATGTCATTTATGGTAGATTCGAGATCCTTCAATGAGCACTATAAAGGTCAAGATTGACAAAGAAGAGAATCTCATATCAATATACAATAATGGTAAAGGAATTCCTATCGAAATACATAAGGATGAAAAAGTCTACGTTCCTGAATTGATCTTCGGCCACCTTTTGACATCATCGAATTATGATGATAATGAAAAAAAGGTTACGGGTGGTCGTAATGGATATGGTGCAAAATTAACAAATATTTTCAGTACTGAATTTATTGTAGAGACGACCGATACGACTGCTAAAAAAAAGTACCGACAAGTATTCAAGGATAATATGAGTGTTAAACAAAATCCAAAACTAACTTCATACTCAAAAAAAGAAGAATATACGGAAATAACTTTTAAACCAGATCTTGCAAAGTTCGGTTTGACAGAATTAACGGACGACATTGTCGCATTGCTAAAAAAACGTGTATTCGATATGGCTGGATGTGTTAAGAATGTTAAAGTCTTTTTGAATGATGAAAAAATTAAAATTCGAAATTTCAAGGAATATATTCAAAAATATTTACCACCTCCAAATCCATCTGAAGATTCAACTACGAAACAACCAGATGTTATACATGAACAAGTTAATGAACGATGGGAAGTTGGTTTCACTCCAAGTCAAGAAGGTCAATTTCAGCAAGTGAGCTTTGTAAATAGTATCGCTACCACGAAAGGTGGTACACATGTTAACCATGTTGTTGATCAGCTGGTTACAAGAATCATGGAAACTGTAAAGAAAAAGCAAAAAGATGCTAAATTGAAACCATTCCAGATTAAAAATCATATCTCCTTATATATTAATTGTTTAATTGAAAATCCGAGCTTCACCTCTCAGACTAAAGAATTTATGAGTTTAAAGGAAAAATCATTTGGTTCATCTTGCACTCTTAGTGAAAATTTTATAAACAAAATTTTAAAGTCTGTAATTATCACGGATATTATTGAAGAAGTCAAACAGAAACAGGATAGAGAATTAAAGAAAACAGATGGTGCAAAAAAGTCCAATGTTCTCTCTATCGAAAAATTAGAAGATGCTGGTAACGCTGGAGGCAAATATGCGCAAAACTGTACTCTAATCCTTACAGAAGGTGATTCAGCTAAATCTCTTGCTGTGGCCGGAATTTCTGTTGTTGGTCGTAAAAACTTTGGTGTATTTCCACTTCGTGGAAAGTTATTAAACGTTCGTGATGCATCACATTCATCAATAATGAGTAATGAAGAGATTCAAAATATCAAGAAAATTCTTGGATTACAACACAATAAACAGTATACATCCACAAAAGATTTACGATATGGTCATCTCATGATTATGACTGACCAGGATTATGATGGAAGTCATATTAAAGGGCTCATTATTAATCTTTTGGATCACTTTTATCCTTCCTTGTTGAAAATTCCTGATTTTTTACGCGAATTTATTACACCTATTGTCAAGGTATAAATGTTATATTATAATTTGGTCGTTAAAATTTCAAATTCAAATTTAATTCAAATTTCTAATTTGTTATCTTTTTATATATATATTTTATTTAAAGTGTACCAATAATCGAACCAAAGAGGTAATTTCATTCTATACGATACCTGAATATGAACAATGGAAATCATTAAATCATGACGGAAAAGGCTGGACCATAAAGTATTATAAGGTAATTATATTTATTATTATATTATTATATATATACGTTTACGTAATTTGGTTTGTGGATTAATATATGTATATTTAATTATTTAGGGATTGGGAACTAGTGAAGCTAGAGATGCGAAAGAATATTTTAGTGATTTACCAACTCATATGAAACCTTTTCGTGAACTTCAACAAGACGAACGTTCACTAATAGATATGGCATTTAATAAAAAAAAGGCAGACGCTCGTAAAGAATGGTTGCGGACTTATCAACCTGGAACTTTTATGGATCACAGTGTTGACGAAATTACAATAACTGATTTCATTAATAAAGAATTGATATTGTTTAGTATGGCAGATAACGCGCGTTCAATACCTTCAGTAATTGATGGATTCAAACCTGGTCAACGTAAAGTTATGTATGGTTGTTTTAAGAGGAATCTTAACAAAGAAGTCAAGGTCGCACAATTGGCGGGATACATCTCCGAACATTCGGCTTATCATCATGGCGAACAAAGTCTTACATCTACTATAATTGGTCTGGCTTATGACTTTGTTGGATCTAATAACATAAATTTATTGCAACCACGAGGTACATTCGGTACAAGGGCGCAAGGTGGAAAAGATGCCGCAAGCGCTCGTTACATTAATACAGCACTCCAACCAATCACACGATTAATTTTTCATAAATCAGATGATAATTTATTGAAATATCTCAATGATGATGGTCAATGGATCGAACCAGAATGGTATTGTCCAATCATACCAATGGTCCTTGTGAATGGATCAGAAGGTATCGGAACAGGATGGAGTTCTTATATCCCAAATTATAATCCTATGGATTTAGTCAAAAATATACTTCGTTTAATGGAAGGTAAAGAACAAGAACCAATGCATCCTTGGTATCGTGGTTTTAAAGGTGAAATTAAGCCATTGGAAAAAGATAAATACACAAATAACGGTGTGATTGAAAGAGTCTCTCCTACAGAAATAAAGATTACAGAATTGCCTGTACGAACTTGGACGCAAAATTATAAAAAAGATTTAATCGATAAGTTTATGGGATTTATAAGTAAATTTGATGAAGAACATAAATCTCATACTGTAGAATTTCATATTTCATTGAAGGATGAACTTGCTGACCTTAGTGATGAGGAACTTGCAAAAAAATTTAAGATCATTTCTACTATTCCTATATCAAACATGGTTTGTTTTGATCCAGAAGGACGTTTGAAAAAGTACCAAACTCCTGAAGATATACTTCAAGAATTTTATCATGTTAGATTAGATTTGTATTCTAAAAGGAAAGATTATTTGATAGACGAATTAAGACACGAGTGCCTTAAGCTAGCAAACAAAGTTCGTTTCATCAATATGAAAATAAAGCATGAACTTGAATTTGAAGGATTGAGGAAAAAGTCCATAATAGAATTACTAGAGGCTAATGGCTTTGACAAGGTTCATAAAAGATCTATTATAAGACGTGGTTTAGAAGAAACGAATGAAGCTGATGAAGAAGATTCAAATGATAGTGGTTATAATTACCTTATGTCAACACCTGCTTGGGCTTTCAGTAAAGAAGAGGTAGCGTATATATCATAAATCTATGCGAATTTTGTTTTTGCATCAGTTCAACTAAACACTGACATTTTTATTGACAAAAATTTGTCCTTTAGTCAGAAAGAATCAATTCTTTGAAGAACGAAAAAGAAATAGAATTAAGAATTCTTGAAGCAAAACCTCCTAAAGAGTTTTGGAAGGACGATTTAAAGGCATTTGAAGAGCAATGGAACGTAAGTATTATTGATTATATTCGTTCGTGTTTGCACAATTTAAATTGTGTAATTAATAAAAGTTGCCATTTTTAGAAAGATTTGGCCGAATTTGAAGAAAACATGAACACTGGCGGTGTAGTAAAAAAGAACAAAAAAAGAGTAACGAAACCAAAAACTACCGAGGTTAAACAAAAGGCTAAATCGAAATCTGCACAAGAAAAAAGTGAACAAGAACCTAAATCAATTAAGGATTATTTTAATTCGAAGGCAGATGATGTTTTTGAGGTAGACGATCAGAGTGATGTTGAGATGGTTGACTTGCCTAAGCCAAAACGAAAGAAAGCATTTGATCTAAATGAAGGCCCACGATCTAAATTGACTAAAGTCTGACTAAGTTTTCCCTTTTTCTTACGACATTACTACGTAATTTGGGTTCAGAAATCGGGATTTCTACCTAATTTAGGCTATAACCCAAATTAAAAAATGTCCTATTTTCGATTAGTAGTGTCAAACTCGAATTTATTCAATTTGTAACAATAGATACAACATTCAATGTTATATTACAATATTAAATTCTATATACACGTGAATAAATATTAATCCGATCCAAGGAATAAATAAATATGATTTAGTTAATTTTTCCAATTGAAACTAGCCTTTGATACCACTTTAGTGGATCTGAGATTACCGTGTCAGATATCAGCTGATATCGTAGGGGGAGGTAGACAAAATCTCAAGTCTAAAATATATACATATAACCAATTAGAATGATTAAGTTTCTCAGGAGGGGGGTGAGCTCTATACTGATCTCAGCTAATATGTGACACGCCCGTTACTGTCTAACTCGATTTACTTATTTTCGCGAGTAATACAAACCAAAAAAGGAAATTCAATTTTGTAAATAAACTAAGTGCGTAATAGGGTTGTGAGCTTTAGCGATAAGTTGGAGTTTCTTATATGTAAAATTTCATCCCCGTTATTTTTTATTAGTTAATCAAGGTCGATTTAAACTCTAGTTTTTGAGTATTTTCGTTTTCTTTTCTTTTTTTCTTCTTTCGCACGTGTTCGGATTCTTTGTCAGGCTGATTCGCGATAGTCAAAATCTGTGCTCTCTGATTGGCCATCTCCTTTTTAGGTTTTTATTACTCGCTAAAATAAGTGGCTGCCTGTCTAACTTGTAAAGCGGGCAAAATCACGTGATAAATGACCAATCAAATCGAAAAACTTGAAAAATACAAAAAACAACAGTCTAAATCTACCTTGAATAAGTTAAATAAAAATAATAAAAGAGCAATTTTGTATATATGCTATAACTATTTAAAGCCTATTCTAATCTTAATCTATAAGTATTTGCTAATTTTTCTCAAGTTTTTATTGGTTAATACTTCTAATTAAATGCAATTAATAATATAATACAGTATTATAGTATTGCCACATTACTGTTTTTTGAAGTACAATATTGGTAAATTGAAATACTATTTAACTACCAAGTTTTTTTAAATTTATAACTAGTTGTGTTTTAGTAATAATAATTTTGGCAATTTAGCTAGATTCAAATAACTTAGCAGCAACTTTTTATTTATTTATTACTAATATTAGACATAATTATAATAACAGTTAAATTAGTTATATGAAAAACGATTTATACTAATTATATAATATGATAGATATTTAATATACTAGATATTCATAGTATTAGATTCATATTGCATATTACTATACCTAATATAAAGCAAAGTTTAATAAGCTATTTATATATGTATATAAAATCAGATTAGCTATTGATTATCTATCTATTCAAACTATCTAATTCAAAATTTGTATGTTTTATAATAATTATTTTTTTACAAATAATTTTTTTTTTAATTTTGTATGTCAAACTAATGTTATAGTATAATGTTTCAAAGCAATATCAAAGCTATTAAACCTTTGCCTTTTCAATGATGTGCTTCTCTTTCAAATGTACTACACTTGACATTTTTATTACTAAATACACAAAGAACAACTTCTTGCTAAAATACTTAAACATAGTGTTTTTAATACTAACAGTATCACAAATTCAAACTCATATTGTGTATATACTACAAACATTGTCTTTAATAATAAAATACAAAAAGAATTAAAGAAAAAATTAAAGTAAGAATACAGACAACAAAAATATAAAAAAAAATAATATATAAAATATATATATATATATAAGAGAAAAAGGTAAAAAAAAAAAAAGTGCCAAATATTTTTTATTTCTGGATTTTATCTTTTATATACTTATCTACATAATAAAAATTATTTGTATATTTAATAAATTATTAAAAATTAATCTAATTTATATATTGTATTAAGATTTTGTAAAGAAACTTTTTATATAATAAACAGGTATAAAGAGCTATTTATAAATTTAATTTAATTATTAGAAATTAATTCAAATTATAAATTTTTATTAAAAAGCTATAATACAACTCTCCCTGATGATCATTTGTACCAAAACCTAGAGAAAAGAAAAACAAGTATAGGAGCTAATACACACTATACAACAATACTTTAGAGTATAAACAAAAAGAAAGAACACAGAAAAACACACTAGCACAGTAAACTACACAAGCAGGCAGCTAATATATAGCCCTTGAGTACAGAAAACAGTCATGGACTTTAAGCAAATTGATATCTCTCTAATATTTTGTGAAAATTTAGAAATCTGGCCTAGACTCTGAAATGTAGATCACAACATATAACAATAAACAAACACGTCAGCTAAGCAATTGAATAAACAAATAAGTATGAATATATGAACAGAAAGCAAGTATAGCTATACAAATAAACAAAACAATTACATGAAAAACAAGAATATATATATAACAAACTCATTCCAAACGACAGGCTCTAAAATTAACTAAGAGCAGAAACTGAATACATATAAAAATATTTTTCTAAAGTTGGCAGAAGAATTTAATGCAATCAAAGATGATTACAAAAAGAAAGTACTTAGAAAAGATAGAGAAATAGCTCTTATGGCAGGGGCAGAACCACAGTTAATATGCATGTTTAGAAATATGATTGAACTATTTGACTGGCTTGAATATCTTAAAGTTAAAAGTATAGACAAAAACCAAGCAGTTAAGCCTAAAGATATGCTAAAAACCAGGGTAGTACTTGAAGAGCAAGAATGTGGCTATACTAACTATGGAATTATAGAGAAATTAAAAATTAACAAAAGTAAACAAGTAAATAAAAACATAGTTATAGCTACAAAACAAGAAAAAGAAGAAATAGAAAAAGCCCCAGAAGCAGATAATAAACTCTCAACACAAAATGAAGAAAAGCTAGAGAAAGCAAGTAATGAGCAAAGCTCAAATGAAAATATACAAGTACAAGTTAAAAAAAGGAATTGCTAAGTAGTACAAAACCAAATAAAACATTAGTTAAAAAAACAGAGAAGAAATCCACACAAGTCTGCTTTATATTATAGGACATTCTGATTACTGTAAAAGCAGCAAGAATAAGAAAATGTTTATATTTTTATAGCCAAATACAGTTTAAAAGCTAGAAAATCTTTGGAAAAAAGAAAGCTATATCCTTCTATATAATTTTTTGGAATGAAAAAAGAAAAGCTTTACTAGAAAAGGCTTGAGCTGTATACTTTGAAGAAAGAAAAATATTAAGAATCTCAAGAGAGGCATTTACAAAAGAAATTCTAAAAAATAGAGCAAAGCATAAAGCAGTAGTGAAGAACATCACCAAGACAGCCCTAGAAATACTTTTGTTGAAACAATTAAGATCAGTTAATATACAAGCCATATATATATCACACAATAGCAATCGTAATCAAAGAAGTACAATCTTAGTGTATTTCGAATTAGAAAATAATATAAAACTGGCACTAAAGAAGTGGGTATATTATTATAATACAAAATTAGAGTAGAATTGTTCCAAATATGAAGAGAAGAAAGAAAATCCCAAAGTCAGCTTGGCAGTAGAAGAACCAGAGCATAGTTTTGCAAAAAAAAAAAGGAATTTTCATAGGAGAATAGAATTAAAAAAAAAAATTCAAGGTTTGGAGGAAGGAAAAGAAAATATAAGCCCCACTGATTAATATACAATAGCTGAAAGTACTACCAAGAACAAATCAAAAGAGCAAAGCAGTATAGTAGAGAATAATAAATTACATGATATCAGAAACATGCTTGTAGATATTATGGTAGACTTGATAAAATCAAAGCTTAACATGAAAGAGTGGATAATCTTAAATGGAGCAGCCTTCTAGCCAACCACTCTTAAAATAGCTATATATAGTTGTTTTTACAAAAAGAAGTGATATAGCCACTGAATTAGACAATAAAAACTCAGGAAAGAAAGTTAATATGGTGGTAGTAGGAGTATATAATATTAATAGGTAAAGACAAACAAATATAAATTAGATAGCTTATTAGATTTTGTAAAAGAAAAAAAGTTAGATATTGTGGGATTATGTGAAACTAATATGTTTGAGAAGGAAGATATATAGCTAGTACAAAAAAAGAGCAATATATAGGTTTTTGGTTATTAGTAGAAGAAAAGAAGAAGAAGGGCTCAGAGGTTGCAGTATTAGTACATAAGAATATAAAAAATCATTTAGCAAGGGTTATCAAATGGTCTCTCTATATAATAGAGACTGTTTTTGTATTTCGAGAAGAAGTATAAATAGTTCTAACAATCTATATTCTACCAAATGATAAAGAAGCAGAAAAAAAACTTGCAAAATATGCTTAAGTGAGCAGACCAGAAATACAAAAACAAAGAAATGAAAGTTATTGTAATGGGAGATTTTATTTTTTATTTTTTTTTATATATTAAGGTGACCACTTAGGTCCCCGGCACTTGGCTTTATTCAGGTAATTACAATATTACATCAA